TTGCAGAGGCCCTCCCTGCCCACCCTGCCCCAGTCCAGGCACAAAAAGAAAAAAAAGAGAGCTCATTTCTTCTGCCAACTTAGTTTCCACAGCCTGAGTAAACCGAGCCTGAGAAGGATGACCAGGAAATTTTCAAATATTTATCCGTCTGAGTATTGAAAGGTTAGAAATCAAGCTAATGAACTATTTAAAAAATTTCCTGCCTTCATAATGGCCTACAGCAGGTTTGAATTTCAAGCTTCCAGCTTCCTCTAATGTGGGCCCAGCCTACTCCCTACAAAGCCTGCGACTTTGGGGTCACGTGTCTGCATATGGACTCCTAAGCCATTAAGCTCTTCCCACATCCTCCCACCCAGGGACCCCTTGGCCTTCTCGTGCTGAGGGTGCCTACATGGGTAACACAGGCCACCCCGAAAGGAAAGGCGGTAGATGCAGGCGGAGGACCAACTGGACCACAATCCTGGGGCCCCAGGTGTGGAGAGAACAGTCTAGAAGCAGGCCAGTTCTGGCAGGCACATGTTGGTCCTACAGCCTCAACCTCTTGGGGAGCAGCTAGTGGCTGCAGGAGGATGAGTGAGGCCCTTTGTGGTATACACAGCCCAGGGCCGGGCCCCTCCTGACCCCTGCCAGCTGTCTCCTCTGTCCCTGGCTGGCTCCACCCCCAAGTCACACCTCACCTCCTCCTCATCTTAAATGTAGGATTTGCCTATCTTAGAAGTAACCAGGTTTTTGTTTGTTTGGTTTTTTGTGTTTGTTTTTGTTTTTGTACCAGGCATCAAACTCACACCAGAACCACTGAGCTAAATCCCCAGCCCTAGAAGTAACCAGAATTTTAGCAGCAAGAATCAGTATGACAGGACCTGGAAACATTCTCATTTAAGTCCAGGACCTGGGCCTGTCACAGGCCCAGGCCCATCTCCAGCTGGCCTCCCTGGGCTTGTGGGAACCTCTAGGTGAGGGCGTAGTGTGGGATTCTTGCTGGGACTTAGGCCTTTGCACCCAGGCCTGCAGGTGGCTGGGCAGAGCTCTCCAGAACATGCCACACTTAGGGCATGTTAAATGGACTGGTGTCCTTCCCAAAATTGCTCCCTGATGAGCTGTGTCACAGCTATTCCCCAAAATGTAAAACAGGGATGATGTTCTTGTGTTGCAGGCCCTAGGCAAGGACTCCAGAAGCCCGAGGTGTGGGTGGAATCTCCTGAGAAGACTGAGGAAAAATCCTGAGTCCAGGACACGAAGGGGACCAGGGCATGCAGAAGCTACACGTGGGCTGGCTCCGCTCAGCGAGAGGTGTGAGGGGGCTAGAAGGAGTTCAGAGGGGCCAGAAAGGAGCCCTTGGGTAGGGAACTTTAGTTTACAGGCAGGAAGGCTGCAGTTGACTTGGCTCTGAGGAATGGGGACAATGACTGGTGGAGACAGTGGCCCGCCAGCTGGGGCTGCAGGCCGCAGGAGGAGAGGGGCACCCAGCCTGGGGTTCACCGGAGTGGGTCAAGTCAGGAACTCTGAAGGCAGGAGTAGTCAAGGAAGAAAAGCCCCCCTTCCCAAGAGGTGAGTGTTGGCGGTATAGTGGTAAGCTCAGCTGCCTTCCAAGAGGTGGGCATCAAAGCCACAGAGCGGGGAGGAGAAACCTGGGGGTCCAGAGCCTGCACACTGACACAGCAGCACTGGATCCAGTGCTCGCAGGTGGAGGATCATGGGAAGAGGCTCCATGAGACAAAGTCCCTGTGATGCCCATGGGAGATGCCAGGCACAGTGGGCAGTGCCAGAGTGGGACCTGAGATCCAGAGCACAGGGACAACGGGACTGAGAAAAAATAGGTCTGGAACTAGCTTTCCCGTCCTCAAGAGATGATAAAGACAGTGAAGAAAACTCCATGGCAGAGTTGCTTTCAAGGCCTTAGGAGAGCATCGCAGCGCCAGCCGGGTCAGCCAGGAGAAGGAAGTTAGAGAATAGGACGCCCTGGAGCAGGACCTGGTTCGGGCCCAGTGGGCAGCCCTGGAACCACAAGGCTCAGTCTGTGGCTGCTTGGTCACAGAATGAGGCCCACCTGAAGCAACCTAGGGGTGCCCACTTTGGGGACCACGTGAGGACGCTTGGAGGGAAAATCATCCAGCAAGGAGCAGGCAGGCGAAGGGTGAGGAGACCCAGGCCTGGGCCCTCCAGGACACCCCCTGTCCAACTCCAGCAGAAGAAGGGAACAGGAAGCCGTGGACTCCCACTGGGGGCCCCCAATCAGGGCCACAGTGCCAGCTGGGTTGAACTTGCTGAGTGCCATTATGTTACGTCTCTCATAGGGACTCGGCTGTTCACTGAGCCTACTTGAAGCAGCCCTGTAGTAATCCAGGCTAGCCCAGGGCCTCCCATGTGGAAGAAGTAGAGAAAAGGAGTCTGAGAAAAAGGCAGTCGAAAACAAGAGCTGGGCCAAAGTTTAGGCAGTTCAGCCTGAGGTCACAGGATGGTGACCCCAGACCCCTGACCCAGTCATAGAGACAAGCAGCATTACTTAATTCTCAAGGGAGCAAGAGTGGTCAATGACTGTAGAGGGGACAGCACACGGTGGAAGGCATCAGGGACAAGGGAGGCAGGGTGCCCAGGGCAGGTGACCAGGCCATGCCTGGAGGTGGCCGGGGGTCCCACAGAACCCTGAACACCACCCAGGAGCAGGGAAGCAGAGAGGCAGGTCTGAGCCAGTCAGGGACCTGGGACAATCTGAGGCCTGGGGCTGGAGTTGGGGCCCAGAGCTGGGGCTGTGGTCCCCTAAAGGCTTTTTGTGGACATTGCTGGAGAAAAAAAAAACACTGTTGCTAAGTCAGGACTCGAGCTCAGCAGTGATATAGAGGAGGACGTTTCCTGTCCAAGCAGCCACCGGGGACAGCAGCCTATCCTTGGTACTTTCAACATCTTCCAACTAAGCCCGAAAGGCACCAAGGACAGAAGCTGGGACTCCTGGGCAGCTGGAGCTCTCCTGGGTGGGAGGATATTCAGGGATCTGAAGGAGAAGAAAGTGGTCCTGGCTGTAGACGACTGGGTGGGAGGTTGCAGTGAGGCTGCAGACTCCTGGAGGAGACAGAAGAGACTGCCACCCGTAATGTGCCCTGGGCTGGGCAAACACCTCACTTAGAAGACACAGCCTGGGAAAGTATATTCCTCTGGCAAGTTGGGTTCTGTCTACAGTGCACAGACCCCTCTCCTTGTTAATCTGTCCAGTTCAGGAGGTCTCAGCCCCCAGAGATTTTACCCACAATTGTGCACAAAGAGGACCCAAATTAGGAGACAGTTGTATCATCCCTGGGTGATACCATGGTCACCTCAGAAAGGAGTGGGTACAAAACCAGCAGGTCATGTTTGTGTAATTAATGTCTTGCCTTAAGACATCTGCATTTTAGGCATTTGTGATATTTACTCTGTTAAGACAACCACAGTCTCCGCGAGCTTTGAATTGATTATTAGTAAATTTCAGGAGTATCATTTTCCTTGTGATAAGACCACCAGGACATCATGACAAGAACCCACGGTCGCCAGGCGAATAGGGAATTTATTTAGTAACAGGTTTGCCTTATTCTGTAAATAACTATAGGGTATAGTAGGAAAGCAGATATATAAAACTAGTGGATAAAGTTTGGGCTCGTTAAGGACATTTCTTCAATTGTTTTTTTAAAAAATCACAGTGCGCCCAGGGCCACCCTCACAAGTACATATTTAAGGTTACTAGAATTATAGGTAGAACACCTTTGGGGTTGAAATTAAAAGCTAGGGATCTTTGCAGTTGTAATGAATACAAGTTCTTCGGTTGCACAGGAGAACAAATCCTTCCTTGAGAACAAGTCCAAATTCCCGGCAGTCACAGGGTCCCCTGGGGAAGGACTTAGGTAACCCAGGCTCGTGTACACTTTGGATCACACCTTGTTTCCTTGGGATAAAACCAGCCCTTCAAGAAAAAAGGCCCATGCTGACAAAGAAACTGAGGCAATGTGTCCCAGGCAGGGAATCAGTGGGGTGCCCAGAGCCCAGTCTTGAGGACCATGGTGGTCCTGGCTCTGGTTCTGATGAGACAGAGCATAAACATTCCCCTCTCTCCTCTTCCTGATCAAGTACAAGTCTGTACTGGAATTCCCTTCAGAAAGAGGGCTATAGGCACTTGGGGACAAGCCAGGGGACAGGACAGAAAGACAGAGACCCAGCTGCAGTCACCTAGGTATAGCTGCCTTGGGGACTGTGAGAATACCAGGAGGTATCCGGCAGGGGCAAGCTGAGGGGACCCAAGCCAAGGCCACCCCAAGGGGTCCCCACCATCTAGGAAGGGGTCAGGAAGCCATGGGCCTCCTCTTAGAGCCACAGCTCCAGCTGACCTGCTTGATTCGAAGCTTCTGAGGCCGAACCATGTAACATCCCTCACAGGGACTACTCTGTTCCATGGAAGCCCATTCAAAGTGACCCTAAAGCAATCCAGGCCAGCCCAGGGCCTCTGGGAGCAGAGATTAAGTGGAGCCACTGGATAATGGGGGTCATGGAAGAGGATGGTGGGCTCTGCTTCTGGGAAGCTGGGGCCAGTCTGGGCACCCATGGGCTCTAGGCTCTCTGTGGGCCAAGATGTGGGCAGTTCAGCATGAGGTCACTGGATGGTGACCCCAGGAACGTGGCCTAATCACAGAGACGAGCAGCCATTTCTTGGTTCTAAAGGAAACAAGAGAAGCTAGAGACTGTGGAGAGAGAGCAGCAGACAGTGGAGGGTACCAGGGACCGGGGAGGCAGGGTGCCCAGGACAAGTGACCAGGACTGTGGTCACTGGAGGGAGGTTCCACAGAGCAGGTATGGAAGGTCTGGGACCATCTGGGGTTCAGCCTCCCATAGCAGGTGACTCTGCTCCTGGGAAGCAGCTGAGGGACTCTGATGTCCCCCAAGGCACCCTGTACTCCACACAGCCATCTAGAGCCTGCACACAGGGTGAAGAAGTCCAGGACAGCAGGAAGGGGCATGGTACCATGTGACAGAGGAACATCCAGATTTGGGGGACAGGAGTTCATGAGGCCTCTGCCAGCCAGGCCCACAGAGTGCTGGGGAGCTGGCTGCCCTGTGTTGGCAGAGCCGCCTCTTTTCCCCTTGACCTCAGGCAGGGACCACCCCACCCATCAGCCCCATCCTTAGTGCCATGGGCAGAGCTCCGGGTGAAGAGACAGCATGGGGCTGGGGCACCAGGAACTGTGGGACACAGGCATCCACACAGGGGGACAACAATCCACAGAAACCTTGGCCCTGTTGTTTTAAATAAGAAATTTATTGCAAATATAGAAATTGATTCTCTCCATACAGGAATCTCCGAGTTGAGGAAAACAATTTCGTGCCATTCAGTTTAAAACAAGAAATGGGGGTGAGGGGCAGATGTAGGGAGGAGAAAATAAATGAAGTTACCCCCATAAATGAAGAAAAGGAGAGGGATCGAGGCCCCCAGAGGGAGAGGGTCCATACACAGCTGGGGTTCACAGGTTCAGAGTTCAGGGCCTCGAGCCCAGCTCTGCAGGGCTCAAAGCAGGTGCCAGGCCGCAGCGCTCCTGGGGGCTGGCGGCGCCTGAGGAGGACGGGGACCCAGAGGGAAGGACGGCCACCAGAGCTAGACCCGAACCCCTGCCCCAGGCCTGTGCGTGCTTGGCAGGGGGCAGGGGCATGGAAGAGGAGGCCCAGACCGTCCCCAGACAGCCCCATGGGACCCCCTCTTCCTCTCCCTTCTGCTCAGCAGGAGTGACCGCCTTGTAAGGGGGATGTGGAGGCAAGTGATATGCCGACTGTCTTAGGTGGAAACAGTGTCGGGGTGGGGCCGTGTCAGAAGGGACCGTGGGGTGCAGGGCCCTGTGGAGCAGAGAGGACAGACGGCAGTGGGCAGGACAGGCTTCCGATGCCCACCCCAGGCTCCCTACTCCTCAACTCAGCCACCCACACTCCTGCAGAGGCCAGGCATAGTGGTGGTGGCGGGAAGGGGTGCTCGGCCAGCCCCTCCAGCCCCCAACTCCCCTCCTGTCTCTTTGTCAGAGCTGCTGGCTCCTCCTCCAGCCCCTTGCATCTTGAGGAACTCAGCTGCCTGCTGCTTCCTCCAAAAGGTGAGGGACAACCCCAGTCCCTCCCCGCATCTTAACTCCCTGTACCATGTCCACCACTGGGAAACATTTCCTGCCTGTCACTTCACTTTATTTAGGCCCCTTATAAGCAGGGGGCCCGTCGCTGTTGTCCCTGTCTGGCCCCTACTGTCACTGTTTTCTCTAGGCTGGAAGCTCTCCTTTCCAGCTCTCTCCTATGCCTGTTTCCACCTGTGTTAAAGTTCCTAGAATAGGGCACAAGTGACTTCCAGTTGGCAACACCAGGGAGCCTGGCCAGCCCCAAACTCTTTACGCAGCTGTCCCCCGGTATCGCTCTGAAGTGGCCTACACCTGGCCTTCCCAAGTGGGTCTCCCTACTGTCACCCCTCATCCTCAAAGTTCCTCAGTCAGGGACTCCCCTCTCCCCCTGCTGAGGGCACTGTGGCGCACAAAATGGGGTCCTTCCTGGGAAGGGAGGAGCTGTCCACTAACACCGGGCTTCCTGACCGCCAGACCTCTGGAAGGCTGTTAGCTCCAACAGCGGCACACCTGCCAGGCCCTCCAGGAGAGGGTGCGCCACTCCCAGGGGGGGCAGGCTGCACAGGAACCGGCAAGCCCAAGTGTAGCCTCATTTGAGCCCTAGGCAGGGTCCACGGTGCAGCACCCACATTTTCCCCAGCTGGCTCCCCCCAACTGCCCACACTGGGCCCCTGACAATACCCCTCCCTGGCCCTTCACCCTCTGCCCCAGGTGCCACCCTCCCAGCCTGCCCAGGCGCTGGCCAGGACACATCACCCTTACAAACACAGGCCTCGCGGGCTGATGGGGGAAAATGCTCTTTTGTCTTTTGTATTTCACTTCTGATTGGATAAATCCTGAAAAGGACACAGATGCAGGGGGCTCGTCCCAAAGAGGCCAGGTCTGCGCAACTTGGGGCCAGGGGGAGCGGGTAGAGGCCTGCGTCTACAGAGAACAGTGAGGTCTGATTATTCTAGGCCACTTCATCTTCCAGTGGGTCAAGGTCCCTCTCTTGTGAAGGGGCCCTAACTTTAAAGCCCCCTAAAGTGCGCTGGCCTGAGGTTTTATTGGTCTCCAAGAAGGGATGATGGCAGAAGGGTAGAGACAGCACCCATCCCGCCACTGGGAATCTTCCTGGGGCGAGGCCAGGCCACTGGCAGCTCCTCGTCCTCCCCGTGCTCCTCCCTCAGGCCCCTGACTGTCCATGAAGCCCAAGCTCTCAGGCTCCTGTGCCCGGCCAGTGACCGACCCCATCCCACTAGCTGCCAAGGCCCCTCCTCACCTGCAAAGGGGGAACAACTAGAGCAGAGGAGAGGGGCCTCAGAGGTCCTCTCCACTCGGAGATGGGGCTGCCCTCTCCACACGTCCCTACGGCCACCCTCCCTGGAACGGAGGAGGAAAGGAGTGAGGAGGGATGAAATACACTGGGGATGGAAGAGGTGGCCGTGGGAAGACGAAGGGAGTGGGGGTGGCACTTGTGGGCCTGATGCCCCGAAAGACAGGAGGTGGGTGGGGGTCAGAGCTGTGTTTTGGTGGCACCTGTTTTGGGTCTTTCGCAGAGCTGGCCCCTCCCTGGGTTTCAAGAGCTGCTCAGATCACAATGGAGGGAATCTGGGAGAGAGGTGGGGAAACTGGACAGACTGGCACATACACGACAGATGTTTGCTCAGAAAAATACAGTAAAATTGTCATGCAAATATAACAGGGAGTCTGCTTCTCACGCTGCTGGCTTCCCAGCCTGCTTGTCTCCATTTTGCCAACTGGGTGTGAGGAGAGGTCGAGGTGCAGGTCTGGGGGTTGGGGGAGGTCTGCCTGCACATCCACGCCAGCCCGACCCCTCTGCTCCCCAGAACAGTCTTTCCTTTGAAATGTCACCCCCAGAGTGAGCCCTGGGCTCAGCCCACCCCCAAGTTGATGTGACAGAGCTGTTCGGTTGAGACCCCAGGCCTCCCCCAACTCCCACTCCAGCACTCGGGGGTTGGTGCCCCCCCCCACAGATGGCACTAGCTGTCCTGGTCAGAGCCCCTGACCACAGTACAGGTCTTCGTCCCACCCCAGCTTCTACCCTCACCCCACAGCCTCAGTCCTGCTCTTTAGACAAGCCTGACAGTGTGACAGTCCAGTAGCTGGGGATCCCTGGCAGGGACATGGGGGAGCACAGAAGGCTCCCCTCATCCTGAGGTGGGTGGGGAGCTGTGGGCACAATGGCAGGTGGGCAAAGCCGCTTAGAATCGGCCCCACACACACTGGCCCACCTCCCGCTCAGAAGAAGGGGCCACATCTCAGCCCCTCAGCCTGCTAACTACTCAAGACCCCAGGTCTCAAGATCCCGAAATTGTTCTTCCCTAGAACTTGTCCCCAGAAGCCCCCAGCTCTTGAGAAAGGCAGCCACCGCCCAGCCCTGCCCTCCCTTGCCATCCTCCACTGCCGCCCACACTGAGAGAACCCCAGAGCCCAACGGTTGGTGGCTCTGGGCACCAACTGCCAGGCACTGGGTTGCCATGGTGATGGGCTAGCTAGGGAGGGGGAGGGGCCCGCAAACCCAGCCTGCTCCCCCCACCCCAGGGCAGTGGGGGGACCTCACTGTTTGTGCTTTGTTCGATGTTGGGTGGGAGTCAGAGAGGAAAGTGGCCATTTCCGTGGAAACATGGGAGCCCCCCTGGCCAGGAGGTGAGGCAAGGACGGGGTGACAGGCACCCTCCTTCCCGTGGGCAAGCTGACGCCTGCCCAGAGACCTCGCAGTGGGGTCAGGCAGGGCAGGATACAGGGTGCAGACAGGAAGCACCCCATTCCATCACCTCCCCACTGCCCCCAGGCATCACAGTTCACTGTCGCCCCTCTGGGTAGGTAGGGGTCCCCCAAGGCCCAGAGAAGCTGGGGGCCTGGGGCGTGGGGCCTGCACCTGAGACACCACGGGAGCTGGTCTGCCCCCACCCACCCCCAGACAGCTCCCGAGCTACTTGGAAGACACTTGAAGGAGATTGGTGGCCTGTCCCCTTGCCTCTATCCCCTTCCTACCGGGAGACTCCCTCAGAGTTATGAGCCACAGCAGACCCTGCGGGTGCTTCCATGGGCTTTCTAGGGAGGAAAAGCACCTGCCTGATTCTCGAATCCCTCAGCCCCGAGAGACCACAGCTTTGGACGGGGTGATGAGTGGACTGGCTGGGGGGCCCAGGGGAGCAGCCAGGACGGAGCAGCACTAGGCTGGAAGGTGGCAGGCCAAGACTAATCTGCTGTGTGACCCAAAGTGCTACCACTTCCTTTCGCTGGGCCATCCAAGAGGAAGAAAATACCCAGTGTCCATCCGGCGACCTGATCCCCATCTTGGGGGTTTCAGTCCATCTCTACCTCAGTCTCCTGTGTCCCCAATCCTGTCCCTAGTCCCAGCTCCCACGGCCCCACATCCTCCTGGCTTTCTCGTCACCTGTCCCTGTCCCCAGCCCCACGCACCCCGGCAGAGCCCCTGGGCAGCACAGTAAAGACGCCTGGTTTCAGTATCAGTTTGTAAACTTTAAGGAAAATGTGTCTTTTTTTCCTGTCCGTTGTTGTCGGGTGTTGGTGGGTTCACAGTCAGGTGGTGGTCAGGTGTGTGTGCATGGTGCGTGCGTGCGGGTGTGCGTGTGCGTCCACTCCGAGGTCCTGGCCCTCAGTGCGCTGCCCGGCTCGGCCACCCAGGGCCCTTCCCGAGTGCCCCGGCCCCCCCGCTCCAGCCTCACCAGGGAGGAGAGGGTCACAGCTTCTGCTGGGCCGAGACCCCCTTCCAGTAATCGAGGATGTCATGCAGGTCCTCGTCCTTGGCGAACTGGACCTTCTTGCGCAGGGCGTGGCCGGCGGCCATGTACACCTCCTCACGGTGGTGCTTCTTGTAGGGCCGGAAGCGCTCCCAGATCTTGTGTGTGCTCTCGGAGGAGTACTCGGGGCTGGAGGAGTACCCTGAGTAGTAGTGTCTGGGGGAGAGCTGTGAGTAGGTGGAGTCTCGCTTGGAGCGCGTCAGCGGCTTGAGGAAGGACACGCGCTGGCTGAGGCTGTCGGCACCCTCCTCGTAGTAGAGCGCGGGGAAGCTGTGGCGGTGCTCGCTGCAGTGATAGGCCGGCTTCACCTCCAGGTGGTGGATGCCCCCAGCCCCACCACTGCCCCCGCTGCCACCCGTGGGCACCAGCGGGAGCCGGTCCAGCGGGCTGTTGAGTGGGCTGCCCTTCTCGATGTACTTGGAGTCGCCCTTGGCCAGCCCAGAGGCGGCCGGGTGGTCGGGCACATCCAGGCTGAAGACCTTGGCGCTCTTGATGGAGCCGCTGGACGACACACTGCAGGTCTTACGGGTGACGGCGACGTCGGCGCTGAGCTGGCGCTGCAGCGGGTGGTGGGAGCTCTCTTTGTAGGGGGGTGAGAGGAAGCTGGGCCGCTCCAGGGCCCCGGGCGCGGCAGCTGCGGAGGTGGTAGTGGCCGCAGGGAGAGACTGGCACTCGAAGGCCAGCTCAGGGTCCCCACCACCACTGCTGCCCCCTAGGAAAGAGGCCGAGTCCAGTTTGAGGGCATCGATGCAGTTGTTAATGATCTGGTTCACTTTGTCGACCTCCTTGGCGATGGTGGAGATCTCGGCAGCCGAGCCCTGGCCGTTCTCAAGGTCTGGGAGGTCATCCTCGGGCCGCGCCAGTCCATCCCCCCCAGCACCCGTGCGCACCTCAATATAGTTGCCCTTGGTGGCCACCTTGGGCGTGTCCAGCCCGGCTTCCAGCCCCTTGGGGGTGGGCAGCTTCTCCCCAATCATGGACGGGATGGAGGACATGCGGGCCACAGGCAACACAGGGGGCTCCCCCAGCTTCTGGGCGGCATGGACGATGGAGCCGGCATCCACATCGGCACCGTAGCGCATCTCCAGGATAGTCTTCTTGACGTTGACGGACTTCTGCTTCTCCTCCTGCATGCGCCGCTTGCGTAGGCAGTAGTAGACGGCACCCAGCACAATGACCATGCCAAAGAGGCAGCCCAGGATGGTCATGATGTAGTGCGTGGTGGTGGACGTGCTGGGCGCCAGGTCGCCGGGCACAGGGTCCCGGGTGGTGAAGGTCAGGCAGGTGTGGTTGAAGCGGCGGCTGTTGCGAAGGGAGGTCACGCAGAAGGTGTACTCGGTGTGCGCCCGAAGCTTGTCCAGCGTCACGATCTCCTTCTTGTTCTTGAGCGTCATGACGTCGGAGAAGTAGCTGTTGTTGTACTGGACCAGGACGTACATCTTGCTGTAGGGGTGTGGGATGGTGACCACCAGGGTGGCTGAGGTGAAAGTCACATGGTGCAGCTTGATGGCAGGCCCCGTGGACGCATCCGTGGTGGACGAGGCCGGTGGTTCCACCGAAAGGATCTCATCAGGGTTGAAGCCCGAGTTCTCATCGGGTTCCCGCTGGGCGTCGGTAGAGTAGGGCGTGGGGTGGCTCACGGGCCGGGCCGGCAGCGAGCCGTTGCGGCACTTGGCCTGCAGGACGGTGATGGCGTTGAGGCTGTGGTAGGGCCGGGGCACCAGCAGTGGGTAGCCGGCGAACTCCCGAGGAGCCTCACACTGCAGGCGGTCGTAGTTCTTGGTGACGTTGTTGAAGACCACGAGCCAGGCGAGGAAGCCAAAGAGGTCACACTCACAGTTGAAGGGGTTGCCGGCCAGCTCGCAGACCATCAGGCTGGCCAGGCTGGCGAAGGTGGCGCCATCCAGGCGGCTGAGACGGTTGGAGGACAGGTCGATGCTGATGAGGCTCGGACACTCGGAGAAGGCGGTGGGGGTGACCACCTCGATGAGGTTGTGCTGCACGAACAGGAACTGCAGGCGGCCCATGCCTCGCAGCATGCCCTCTGTCAGGTTGCTGAGCCGGTTGTACCCCAGCTGCAGGACCTGCAGGCTCGTCTGGCCCAGGAAGGCGCCATCCTCGATGTAGGAAATCTCGTTCTTGGTGAGGTTGAGGTCCGTGAGGTTCCCGAAGCGGTTGAGTGAGGAGTAGAGCACAGCCTTGAGCTTGTTCTCATTCAGCCGCAGGTCATGCACAGTGCTATTGATGTGCTGCGGGATGGTCTCGTAGGGTGGCTGATTCTGGCTGCAGATGGCCAGCCACACATAGCCCTTGTCCCCCTCGATGAGCCAGCAGTCTGCGCGCACTGCACCCGGCCGGCACACGCACAGCAGCGCCGCAGCGCACAGCCCCAGGCGCAGCATGGTGCGGGCTTCGGGCCCCTGGCAGCCAGGCAGGGGTGAGGGCTGGAGCACGGGGACCTAGAGGCCAGAGGCTGGGGCTGGCAGCACAGTCCTCCCCGGGGCCGCCACCATCTTGGGGGCGGCCCCCGACACAGGGATCCCAGGCAAGATAGGCACGGCCCGTGCCAACTACCGGGAGCGTTCCAAGGGTCTACAAGCAGGCACCAGGCCTGGCTGAGGTGTGGGGGCCCAAGGTCGGCTCCCCGAGGTGCTCCTCAACTCCTGCTGCGAAGGTGAGCAGGGTCTCAGGCCCAGACTTCCTCTCCCTCCTCCTCCTCCTCCTCTTCCTCCTCCTCTTTCGGTTCTGGGCTCAGAACGTCAGACGGTTCCCACAGCAGAGCAGGGTGCAGTTCTGGGGGAGAGCGGAGAGACGAGGGCAGGAAGGAAGAGACCCATCTGTCACCTGGTTCCTGAAAGGCAGCAGCGAGGGGGTGACTGATCAGTGCAAGGGCCCAGATCAGCCCATTCGAGCTCCAGCGCAGGCCCCAGTCCCTCTCCATACTCCTTCCTGGGGGCCTCCGTGCCATCGAGCACCCTAGAGTCCCTGCTACATAAGGAAGGGAGGGCAAGTGGGTGGCAAGAGAGGGAAGGGGCTGGGGGAAAAGCAGTGAGATAGAGGTTAGTGGCATCCTGAGGACCAAGGACAGGGGTGGAAGCCCGGAGAGGAAGGGGGCAAGTGTACACACACACACACACGCACACGCACGCACGGACATGCACACACGCACCCGGCACACCGGTGTCCACACTCACCTGCCTCCCTACACAAAAACCACGTGCCCCCATGAGCCCGCACACCCTAGCTACACACATGGACTCAGGCAGGTACACACACACACACACACCTAGCATTTGTGTATGCAATAGACAGACCTCACACACAGGTCCACATACCCAGGTGGGCACCCCAAATCCAGAAAAAGAATTAAGAAGCCCAGCAAAATGCTTCCTCACTCCATGCCCAAAGATAAATAATTCATTTGTTGTGTAACTGCTCTTGTTCCAAAAATAATTCCCTTGTCTCAGCTTCCATGGGGGAGGGGAGCAGAGTGTGGCGGCTGTGGGCCCCCCTCCCGGGGAGAGGCAGAGGCTGGGGTCTCTGCAGGGGGAGGGTGTGGGGAGAGCTCATCCCACAGGCCGCACTGAGCCAAGCGGAGGAAGGAAAGAGTCCAGGGACCCAGGGACACTCCCCAAGGTCATCGCCCCAGGAGTATTTTCCAGAAGGGGCTTCTGATCCAGATGGGGAGCCTCAGAGTTCTGAAACAGCATGGCCCCACAGCCCCTTCCACAGCTGGAGAGTCAGAGGGTCACAGAAGAACGAAGACTTGCCCTGAGAAACGTAGCACAGTCTGGGCCGGGATCAAGGCTCTCAGGCATGGTGAGCCCAGGCCAGGAGCCAGGAGGCCTAGGACCCTGCCGACCCCGACTGACGAGCCAGGCGAATCACACCATCTCTGAGTCTAACTCTGAATCCACCGAGCAGGAACCAGTCCCCATCCAGGCCCCGTCGATGTGGGAAGAGGTAAGGTGATTCATACTGTCCGTCTCTAAGGCGCAGAGGGTGGCACAAGGATCACAGCCCACAGACCACTTGAACCAACCCTCACTTCCCAAGTAGGGAAACTGAGTCCCTGGCCCTGAGGAGGTCTGACCAGGGACACCCCCTGGGCCAGACCCAGCCCCCACTCCCACCCTCTGTGCTGGATGCAGACAAGCTCACTTCTCGCGCCCTTTACCCTCGGAGGGGCCCAGGAGGTGAGGAGAAGACCAGCGAAATCCATGCTTGGACAAGGTAGGCCGAGGGCTCTTCATCAGACCCTCCTCCACTTTCCACTCCTTGCCTGGAAAAGGCGAGGAAGGAGTGTGCTTGGAAAAAACACATGAGACCTGTGCTGCTAAAGCAAAAGCAATTTACAGCACTAAGCCCCAGAGGATGGACGGTGTAGGGAAGACTCCAAAGGAAGCCCAGAGTGGGCAGTGCTGGCTGAGAAGGTGGCAGGAGACAGGGTGTCCACATGGCTCACTGGTCCAAGATTGGTGCCAGGTCTGAGGCTGGAAGGATGGGGCCTCCGAAGCCCGCCTCACACCTCCCATCCCCTGCAGGGCCGGCCTGGGCTGTTACGAGGCGGCAGGTAGCAGACACCATCACTGTCCTTGGCCAGGCCGCACAGCGCTCTTGAGGCTGGACAGACTTCGGCTCCAGGACAGCTCTGCTCATCGTTCTTGTCCCTCTGGGCCTCAGTTTCCCCTCCCAAGGCTTCTGGGGTAAGCTGAGTCCCCAAGCTCGCAGCTGCAGGATCCAGGAGCCGCCCTCAGTCCCCCACTCCTCCCTCCGCCCGGGAACATCTGGGGACTGAATTTGTATGCAGGTGCACACACAGGTGTGCAGCTGGCTCGGAGCGGGATGCAAGGGTGCAGTGACGGGAGCGAGGAGGCAGCACACAGGCAGAGGCAGGAGCAGGCGTGTGTGTGTGTGTGTGTGTGTGTGTGTGTGTGTGTGTGTGTGGGGGGGGC